TATTCTAAACCCTTAAGTTGTACAATGAGAATTAAACCTTTTTACTATATATATAAAGCATAATAAGCCAACACATACACAAAATATGCACAAGAAAGGAAACCTTTAAAATCAACAATAAATTAACCAAAATACAAAAAAACTTCTTACATTGACAGTTTATAAAAATGACTTTCAACACAGAACTCTATATACACATGTGAAAATATTCTTGAAACATAGGGAACATATTCACACAAAAATAGAACCCTTCAACCAAGAATCTTACATTAAGTTTAAATCTACACACAAAAACAAATATATGCACTGTGCAAACAAAATAAAACCCTTAATCTGCTAATTACACTACTGAAATATACAAATATACTTTGTACAAATGAAAATAAAAGTTACACTATACATATATGCTCTAAATAGAACCCTTCACATTAGTTGAATACAAATATAGCTACATATATACATTACAAATTAAAATAATCACATAAATAAAATCATCCTACAAATATATATACAACTTGTAGGGAAGATGTAGCTGCTTACTTACAAGAAACCTAACAGCAAATCCTCCAAAGCAGCTATTGATTTCTGGTGAACCATTGTGGTCTGGCAAATCACTGCTCTAGCTCTCAAAAGAGCCTTTCTAGTTCTCACTAGATCCTCTGATGCACCTACTCCTCCAGCTGCATTGATGGCTCTCTGCACTTCAGGAGACAGTCTTCCTTGCAGGTATATAACACTCAGGCCTCCATCCATCTGGCTACACGTTCTTAACAGTGGCATTTGGACTATTATCCGCCTCACTGCAGGATTGATGGGGAACTCCAACTTCTCTGTGCTTGCCTTTGGAGCTTTTGAAGAGCTATTATCAATGAAGAGTGGATACCTGGGTGCTTATGATGGAAGTTGCCACCCCAGCAAGCATCTCCAAGGCTAGTTTGAACATAATGAAAATTTCCACTTGAGTCATCTAATACCCCTAGTTTACATTTGTTAAACTCTGTGATACTGTTTAGCTTATGATGGAAGTTGCCACCCCAGCAAGCATCTCCAAGGCTAGTTTGAACATAATGACAGTTTCCACTTGAGTCATCTAGTACCCCTAGTTTACATTTGTTAAACTCTGTGATACTGCTTTAGCTTATGATGGAAGTTGCCACCCCAGCAAGCATCTCCAAGGCTAGTTTGTACATAATGACAGTTTCCACTTGAGTTGTCTAGTACCCCTAGTTTACATTTGTTAAACTCTGTGATACTGTTTACAATATTTACTTTTCACAGATAATTTCACCTTGCTCGCATTTCATTTCAACAAACTGAAATGTTTCTGGCCAATACTTGTAAAACACAGTTAAACTATGTCCTAGAGCACTTGTGGAGTGAGTCTAGCTATTAAACTTATCTTTCCATAACATCTATTACTGAAAAATTCTCACACCCACATTAATGAAAACAAAAGGCTTATTGTTTCTTCAAATAGAATATCCTAAAGATCAGTAACCACAGTTACCTTCAAAAGTCAAGGTTTTGACATTTCGATAAAATATTTGCATTATCATTTCTTCAAAGATTGCCTATTGACTGTATTCTCAGTGGTTGATTCATTTTGTATTGTACAACACTTATGAATAACTTTGTGTAAAACCATATGTATGCAAAATCTCTCTCTCACACACACACACACACACACATATATATATATATATATATATATACTACCTCCACACATTTGTACCTACATTAGAAGCTTTTGACAAACCACATCAGGTTTGTGCACCATTACTACAGTAACAAACATGGGTCACTTTCATAAAATACTGTCCATAGTCGTGGCTCATTAAATTGCTGCCATTTGTGAGTGGTGGAACACAACAGCTTCATAAAATAGATAATTCTTGGCAGAATTTAGCTTTACTTTTCTCCTCCTCATCAGCTAAGCTGAGATGCTTCATAACACTCTCTTCATCTTCTTAAGACTTATTAACCCCAAACTTAAATTCCTCATTAAGCTAGGGCATGAGAGGTTCATCCATTACATAAAGTCATAGTTGTCCATGTATTTAACATGCTTGCATAAACCTTGAAGGATGACTCGTATATTTCAATGGACAACTTGTATGAGTACTAGCTGTTGGATTAGTCCAACTAGAGCAGAGCTACTTTCATGCTGCAGGCATGTACCACAAGCCAATCCCAGTCTTCATATTGGAAAGTTCATACGACAGCTTTTACTAGTTTCTGGTATGCAAATTCATCAATGGGGTCTTGGTACACATCTCTCTCTAGTGAACTGATGGTCTACCTAGGTCTGGTATGACTGGGGTGCCACCAAGTAAGCAGGCTCTAGAAACTCCATTCTCTACCCCAGACCAGCTAGTCTGGCTTGACAGTAGTTCCCTCAAGAAAGTAGGTTCTTGGAGTACCATGCTCTGCCAAGAGTTAGCTCCCAACCCCTAAGTTACAGAGGAGATACTGGCTGCATTTCATCTATGGGTCCTATAAAACCCTGGGTTACCCCACAACCCTTGGTTGCCTTTAGTAACTTGCCTCCGCTATTGAGGAGAGTCTCTGCTGCCCCACAGCTCATCCATGAGTGCCTACTGCATTTCCTACAGGCAGTTCAGTTAACACTGGTGAAGTTCATCCATCAATGGCAACTTGCTCTTTACTCTGGGCTTAGTGGTAGTCACTTCCCTTCACAGAGAGATATTCTGCCCCACATTCATCCTTATCCTCGCTTCTAATTGTCCACAATATTGTCTACTGGTGAAAGAGCTCCTTTTGGCAGAGCTCATACACCAACAGTATTTTGCTTCTGACTCATTGTGGGGGCTGCACACCTACCACCATGGTGACACTTTCTGCTGCTCCACTGATTGTCTAGCTCTTGCACGAGTGCCTACTGTGTCACGTACTGGAAAAACAGCTCCTGCTAATGGATATAATTTATCTGAGGCCCCCAAGTCTGGTCGTTGGGCCAGCCGAGAGCTTCCCAGCATAGAAATAGAGAGGTTTCCACTACTTGCTAGTGTCCTCAGAATGGTTATTAACATTAATGGTTGCACCAGACAGAGATTTTAACTATGCCATTCACAGGTGTTACAATTAACCAGGATCAAAACCAAAATACTTTACTGTTTACTTACCCAAATTTCACTTTTAATAAACATTCAATTAATTTCAATGTAAACTCAAAATTTAAAAACAATTTTAACTTTAATAGGTAGCTTAAAATATTATTGTTTTTGAATATTGTGAATATTAACATGTGACAAAAAGTACCTTCCTCAATAAAATTGCACGTACCAATGTTCAGTTACAAGTAAATAAAACACCAGTTTTTACACAACAATTATATCCTTTCCTCATTTGCAAGAATGTTACAAGTCTAAATGTCTTCAGTACACTGTTTTGTAAAAACAAAAAATAATCTTTGTGCATAACTACAAAGATCAAGATGTTTTTATCATTATGAGCCACTACAATGGCTCAAGTGTTTGAATCTTTCTGCAGAACTACAATGAACAAGTGTTTGAATCTTTATAAGTAACTGCAAAGAACACATTTTAATCCCATAAATCAAACGTTTTTTTCAATCATTCCGATCTCTGAATGTAGCTTTAATTGTAGGTATTTCAATAAAATATAAATCGCATATTAGCAATCCCATTTTGTTTTTCATGGTATGAAATATATTATTCAAAGGTGTCAAAGATTTGATTAAAAGATGTAGCAGGTAGCTTTCTTATTTAACAAATTAACATGCTATGTTCAGATAAAGTATCTGGTTTGTTTTTGTTTGTTTGTTTTCTAAGCTACATCATCCCCCATCACAAGTTGCTATTAAGCTATTGTACAAGCAACAAGTAAAATAACTTTCCAGATGACCCAAAATATTCTATGAATCTAAGGTGTTTCTTCATGTAAAAAAAAAACATTTGCAGAGGAGTGAAAGAGGATTTATTTTTCAAGGTATTTTAACAAAATCACAGTTAATCACGATAAAAAAGTTTATAAATATCACGGAGGTGAAACCCCTCAAGTCTATTTTAATTCAGAAGAAAACAAAGCAATCAATGTTTAAAACCTTTCTTAGTTATAAAACTAAATGACAACATACAGCACATAATAATTCCCCTTCAAAAAAAAACAGCAGCATAATCATAATTAAGAATCTCAAACACATACTAAACTGATTAAAAGTTCGCTGTTTCAAAATTGGAGAATTAAGAAATAATTTATATCATGTTAAATACTTCATTTTGAAAAAATTATCCAATAAGTATCAGTCTGAATATCTTCAACATTATAATAATTGTGCTCTAACCAGTATACAAGATTTTATTTTTTGTAGCAATTCTAAAGCACTATACAATATTTTACGTTTTGTTGTACAAGTAGAAATAAAAATCCTTCAAAAATTATCTTGCAAATGATACACTATAAATAACCCAAAAAGTGACAAAGTAGCCTCAATATTCTTATAAAAGCAACATTTCAAACAATTACTGAATACTGATAACAGTATTCCTATTTTTAAATACTCAAGATAAGATAAATTACACTATGTAAACTGGAAACCCACAGGCAACCACTTATGTTTAAGCAGTTGAGGGAGGAATAATTTCACTTTATTTCCAGCAAATTACTTTCTTCTTCTTCTCCAGAACTCCAAAATGATTTACAACCACTTGCATGACAATCTTTAAATATCAAAAATAATATTTTTTAATACATCATTAAATAATTTAAATAATTAGTATGCAACTCGCATACATCCTCAAAATCAAAGCACCAAAAATGCATATATCTAATTCTATTTTACATCTAGCTACAAAGCATTAAATGTTAATCTTCACTAACAATTTCATACAAAATAAAAATGGGGCCATTAAATATGGTCCAATGCATTTTACATGTCACATATTTTTATGAACTGCTTCAATGATATAGTATTCAGTTCCAAACTTCTAACTTCTTTAAGAATTCCTCTGATAATATATATATTTACCAGTGCACTAATAATATACATTAACCAGTTTTAAAAACTTTCAAGTTCTTTATGGTCTGCTCCAACAATACATACTGACAGTTTTCAAACATTCCTGTTCTTTATGATCTACTCCAACAATACACACTACCAGTTTTCAAACATTCCTGTTCTTTATGATCTACTCCAACAATACACACTACCAGTTTTCAAACATTCCTGTTCTTTACAATCTACTCCAACAATACACACTACCAGTTTTCAAACATTCCTGTTCTTTACAATCTACTCCAACAATACACACTACCAGTTTTCAAACATTCCAGTTCTTTATGATCTACTCCAACAATACACACTACCAGTTTTCAAACATTCCAGTTCTTTATGATCTACTCCAACAATACACACTACCAGTTTTCAAATATTCTAGTTCTTTATGATCTACTACAACAATACACACTACCAGTTTTCAAATATTCTAGTTCTTTATGATGTACTCCAACAATACACACTACCAGTTTTCAAATATTCTAGTTCTTTATGATGTGCTTCAACAATACACTAAGTTTCAAACATTCCAGTTCTTTACAATCTACTCCAACATTACACACTAACAGTTTTCAAACATTCCAGTTCTTTATGATCTGCTCCAACAATACACACTAAAAGGTTTAAAATATTACAGTTCTTTATGATCTGCTTCAACAATACAAACTAACAGTTTTCAAACATTCCAGCTCTTTATAATCTCCAATCTGCACTAACTACAATTTTTAAACCTTTCACATCTTTATAATTTGCTTCAATAATATACAAAACCACAATTATCACACTTTTATCGATCTATATTTCAAAAATATACACTAGTTTTGAAACCTTCCTTTTCTATTCAATTTGCTCCAATATTAACAAATCACCCACAATACAAAAACTTCCAACAATTATACTAATCAGCACTCATACCACTCCTGCTTTGTTTATCAAGTTCTAATAAAACCTGGTATTGCCAAGGCTTACCAAACAAATTTCCATGTTTTAAGCTGCTTTCTTCTTGTTAGCCTTAATCAATACATAAGCAGAATAAATGGATAGTTTCTTGTCTTTGATAAAATTATGATAAATGCAATAAGTTTTTTCAAATTATCAATACACACAGAAATATTAATTTAAAATCACAAAACAGCATTTAGGGAATGTTACAGCAGATGATCTGTTGTCTGTCATAATAAAAGATTTTCTTAATCATTTTATGATATTTGGTAAGAAACAAATAAAAAAATGAACAGCATAAAAAAAATTAAACATTCAATGTCTAGTACAGTTGGAAATGTAAGAAGACATTTAAAATGATCATGACTTTAAATATTTAAAGTTCAAACAGTAAGAATGATCTATTTTTATATTATAAATAAAAGAACTTGACAACTTTAATCCAATATATGTAAAACAATCTGAGATACACTCAAGTCTTTTACCTTAAATGTAATTTTTTTCATTAAATCAAAAATAAAAACCACTTAACTGTCTCAGAAGAAATAATAAGGTAATTTACCACAACAAACTAAACACATTGTGCTCTTTCATTCTCTTTAACAAATTAAAAAAAAACACAATGATAAAAGTCAGATAAATTCTCTCAGTAAAGATTAAAGTAATGGTCTAGTAATTGTACAATGTCTGTTGATTACAATATGCACTAAGTTAGGGGTTCCCAAACTGGAGGCTTCCCAAGACCTTAAACATCTGACTGAGGACCTCCACTTAAGTGATTTAATAGAAATTTTAAATAACAGCCTCTCTGAAGTACCTAACTTTCACTGCATTTTGTTACTTGAAAAATTAACTCAGGCATAAACAACACTGGGTATTCAAATTTATTGCAATAAATAAAATTCTCATTTGAAGTATTAAAGTGAATATTTTTAAATACCTAGTGGTCATCTCAGGAACTTCAATTTGGGAACCACTGGTTTTATGAACTTTCTAAATCAATCATCTGTTCTGAAAGTTAGGGTCTAGTCATTCCTTTGTTCAAATTAGGCTTTGTAAGAATTTACTCTTCAATTTTTGCAGCACACTTTCCCATAAACCAATAACTGCACAACAACAAGCATAGAATATCAAAATTATAGCATTTTGCATTACTACAGTTTAGCTGACACAATGAAATGTTCATAAAATACTGAATTCTACTTGTATATTTATCATCAAGTATTCCTAGTATTATATAAAAACTGGAATAATACTATATCAGTTGATAACAGATATGTAATATATCACTATAAAATCACTAACAAAACCTAATTGTAGTGTTAGATATAAATGTTAATATTTCCTTTCTACACACATATACATATCTTTTAGTGATATTAATAATAACGCTAATACCTAAAATGTAAAGAAAAAAACACACATACATATGTTTTTAATGCTGTTTCTGATAGTAAATTTACACTAGAATTTGACTTCAAAATTTCTGGAACAAGAAGCATTAAAGCCTATGGAAATAATGCCTGACGTTGCTCTTCCCTAACTTATTTGACTTTCACCCATACATCTTAAGCAATATCTCAGTTTTCAGTTCAATGATCCAAAACTACTCCGCTTAAAATGCAAGTAATCACTAAACTATGTTTAATTCAACTTAAACAAATCAGGGAGTATTTATGTTTAAAATATAAGTACTTTCATAATATAAGTTGCATTTCATTTACAGTTTAACATCACATACAATACCATACTATTGTCAACTATCCAAACAAAGCTTCTCAAGCACTTCCTTAGTCTGGCATGTATAACCCCACCTTTCTTGACATTTTCTTCTCAAACTTAGGTCTTTACTTGCTGCTTTGGCCAATGGGATCTGAAAAATCAAGCAAATTTACTCACTATCTACAGATTTTTCAAACTAAAATTCAGTGTGCCCAAAGAAATAACAAATCAATAAAGGTGAATAAATAAATTTAAAAAAACTTAAGGTGAAAGATATATTACACTATTAAATCACTGACATAATTACAGTTTTCATATAGTATTTCCACAAGCACACACAAAAACCTCATTTATTATTGGTACTTTTGGTACTTAAAAAGCTGCCAATTTACCCAATGACAACATATACTGTTGTGAGAACTGTTCTATGTTAGGAAATTGTATTTTAATATTTTAAGTCAACAGATAATAAAATCCAACTGCATTTAGTTGGGTACAAGAACATATGCAATATTTCAGTGTTAATATTCAATATCGATAGCTTTAATCTATTTGATTAGTATGGAGGAATAGCTAACTTTAGTCAAAATTCACATTTACTCTAGAGCATCTTTATATCTTCCCCCAATATTGTTTTCTAGAAAATAAAGCTAAGGTAATGTATGCAGTGGTTGTGAAAAAATTACTTAAGTTTACCAATTTCAAGAGAATATTTTAGGAAACAAAATTTAAATGTGAAATTACCAAATTAGGCTTAATATTGTGGTATTCTCAGGTTCATTGATAATCTTTCAAGTAAGCATTGTACCTTCATACTGAAGAAACAACAGAAAATGTAACATGGAACTTAACTGATTTTTTGAGTTGACTGACTTGAAGAAAAGAACTTGGATAAAACATAAAAATCAATCTATTTATCAAACAGCAACAAGTTAAAACTGAAAAGTGCTACCTAAATGAAGAAGTTTGCAAATTTCCAATTTGTTCTTGAGATACTCTGATATAATTCTGTCTTTAGAATAAACAAACTACCCAATACATACTTGAACAAATAGGGGCAATGCTCCCAGAGTGCATGTGTTACCCATGTCAAAGGTCAATTGATAAATAAAAGTACAGAAGAATGCCACCAGACATTACTAAACTTAGATATGGTGTGTCACTGGAGACAACAGACACAAGATCAAAACTAGGTATCCAACAACACCATCTGTGCGAAAGTTCTAAAACATCCAAGTGGGACACACATGCCTATCTCTGAAAAATCTTGAAATTAAAAAAAAAAAATTACATTTACATTTATGCACTAACCATCCATAATTTAGCAGTGAAAGACAAGAGGGAATCCAACTAGTCATCACCACCCACCACCAACGATTGGGCTACTCTTTTACCGATGAATAGTGGGATTCACCGTCACATTATAATACCCCTTAGACTGAAAGGGTAATAATGTTTTGTGAGACGGGGATTCATAACAACCACCTACAGATTGCGAGTCTAGTGCCCTAACGACCTGGCCTTGCCAGGTCCAATAAGCTTGTTCATAATAACACAGTATGTCTAGAGATGTTTCTTGTATGTCTGTAGATTTAAAAACTTGACTATTGAGTGTAATATTATACCTGCTCAGAACTGACTGAGCATGTCAGTATCAAAATAATTAAGGTTTAATGTGTTCTTTGATGTTGATTTATCATTTTAAAGTGTAATTCACAGTATTTTCAGTGATATATCAGGTGTTCTTCTATTAATCTTAAACCTGGCTATTTGTTATTTTACAAGTCAGCAATAATAAATAACAATTACATGTTGACAATATAAAATAAAAACTATATCAATGTTCATTCACAGTATTCTAGCCTTTCAAATTAACTTCAAATACAGTTCCCAAATTCATTTTCTTTAAATAAGTGCCTAAAACCTTTAAACTCGCCTTGAATAGATTTTCCCACAATCCAGAAACAACATTCACAAACTTGTGCTGCTCATGCTCAGTCATAAAATAGAAGATCCACTCACCACTGCAATTATCTACTTCTGTGCAATCAAACTCCTTCATAAAAAAAAAAAAAGGACAAAAATGTTTCGACTAAATAAGACTTTGGGTTTAATTTATATTTGAAAATATCAATGATAATAGATTAATTTCACTACAAATAAATAGAATTGTCTTAGTACTCAAGTGGAAACTGAATCACAATCTAATCTTGTAAATGAAAACTATTATTTATGTAAAATATGGATAATTTTCACCAGAACATTTGATATTAATTTGCAGTAAAATCTAATAATTTAAACCTCTAACTATAACCCATAACTGAGTATTAGATGAACCAAGTAATTCAAAAATGTCCATACCAGTATACAGTAATTTGGCATTTCTTCATCAGTACTCAAGGTTAGAAGATCAGTAATGTTGGTTTTACCTAGAACTGCCTTCACTTCTCCTCCATAATTATTTTCTAAGACTGTAAACATATAGTCTCCAGCAAGAACCAGACAACACTGATAAGGAAGTGGAGGATCTACTTCCAAAACCTTTTATTCAAAGAAGAATATATAAAAAAATGTACTCATAAAATAATCTATTTTGGGTTCATAAAGCATTTTTGAATGTTTTACTTTAATAAACTTTGGTCAAGAAACAAAATCAATCTTCAGCAAACCAAACAAAAATATAACTTTTAACATCATAAGCTGATACATTCTTACTCCTAGTTTAACATGAAGCTGATTACAAGGGCCACTGCAGAAGAGTTGGAAACTGAAACTTTATACACTATAACACAATATGTTTACATCAGTAATAAGAAAAAACTTCCAAAATCACAGAGTCTGATGACAATGTTTTTTAAAATTTAAGTCTTAATATCAATCGCAATAGATGCATAATAACATATATTTTTCTGTCAGCCACTAGGGAAAAAAATTCTTTCCATTTTGTCTAATTTGACCTCAATTACAAAAGGTTATGGATTGTCATTTTTCTTTTTTGTGTGTGAAAAATATTTGAACTTGAAAAATAGTTATGTTGGAAAAAAACAGGAATGTACTTCTCTTTTGCTTTAAGAACCTACATCTTCTCATACTCTTAAAAAATAACAGAGAAATGAAAGAAAAAAATGTTAAGCTGTGAATGAGTTTTCTTGAACTCATTAATATAAGTGACAAATGTTCAAGCACATAACATTAGATCATTCAGTTAGTACTAACCTACTAATACTTTACATAATAACGGAAACCACCGTAATATCCCAGTACCAAGTATCATAAACACCAGTGGTGTAATGATTAATCAGAATATTCCAAGATTGGTTGTTGTTGTAAAACACGGCTTAAATAAATAGTATTCTGGTCACTATTGCATTTGTGGTATCCCAGCCAGCCTGAAGAGCTCTAGATTTAGTGAAATGCATTGTCAGAAATGGATGTGACAAATATAGTGTGGTTCAAATACTATTATTATACATGCTTCTAATTCTTGAAAATCCATTAGAGACTAAATTAGGAATGTAGTTAGAAAATACAATAGGCTTAACATAATGTCTTATGACAAATACAATGAATTATATCATGCTCTGCCGGCATCTATACCATAACAATTATGTTGTTTTTACATTGTTATATCAACGTTTCTCTACCTCATCACAAAAAAAAACGATGTTTTTACAGTAATTCAATAATCTACGAAATGAACCTAGGAAATGCTTATTGCTTGAAATCATACTGGATAAAAGAAAAAACAATGATTTTGATAAGATATCTGTGCACTTTTGTGTATTTCTTTGCTATGGATTCATTCCATACAGTAAATCTATATAGATGGGGAAAAAATTACAGAAAAGCAGTTAATCTGCAATTCTTTGATTCAAATTATTGAAAAATAAAGAAAATGTTGATAACCATCTATAACTGATGATCAATCAGGTCTGATGAAACAATCATTAATCTTAATATTTCAACCACTTCCCAGCACAAATACATACACACATTACATCAACATTCTCTGGAAACTGGTAATCTATGTAATATTAAAACACATTCATCACTTCTCTTGACTTTAATATCATTTCATCACAGTTTACAGTGGGTTGCAATGTATAAATCTTATAAGAAAAATAAGTCATACGTTACGGGTTCACGTATAGAAATATTAATCAATCATGAAGTTTTTAAACTTTACTCCAACAAGTTGGCAAAAATCCTCTGAATATTTAAATAAAAGAAAATTATTTCAAAAGCACTAATTATCAGCTCATTCACTGATAGCTTAAATGGTCATAACACAAGTCAAAGTTTAAGTGGAAGAATGGAAGTGAGTAATATTAAACTTTCCTGTACACACAAGTGTTAACTTACACGATCTGCCAGAGAAACTGTGTGCAGAAAATCCTGAAGCCAGTCACTAGTTTCATTATCATCAGATGCTGCCATCTGAAGGGAGTCCCAATTTGGGAGGATTAATTCGAATGAATGAGGTTTATCTTCTAATGGGAGCCTCCTACAGCCACCGCAATATGGAAACCTATAACAATATTAATTTGTACATTACACACACATATACATAATTATGTATTTAAACATGCACACTGATGGGAAAAAATATATAGTACATTGCTCCCAAACAAAATAATAATATATATATATACACACACATATACATAATTATGTATTTAAACATGCACACTGATGGGAAAAAATATATAGTACATTGCTCCCAAACAAAATAATAATATATATATACACCCATACTGGTTGTAATTTACCTGCATGCATTTACATTGTAAAGTTACAACAATGCAAAAGTTAAAGAAAGAAACCTGTGATGCTTAGGATACTTATGATAAAGTATCAATAAGATAAACACTATTCATCATAGAACAATACATCTTAGTGAATATATCAAAAAGACCATGAGGAACAAAATCTGTGATATAAAAAAAAAAGGTCACCAGGGGGTACTACGTCTGCTCAGTGCAGCCATCATTCATGTAAATGATGGTCTACAACTTTTGTATAAATGAACCTGTCCAGGAAGCTGTTGGATGGCCCACTTAACTTCATAAGTATGAGGATATCTGAAGTCAAATGCATATCATAAAATGCTTGCTACACTGATGGACTTGACAGGTGCCATCAAATAGCATATGGCCATGTTTCATATTAGACAACTTTCTTTAGCTATCATGTCATCCCAAAAGATACATGCCATCACTGACATCCAGTGGACACTTTGAGCAGATGTAGCATCCTCTAGTGATCAGTTCCATTAGCCATGGATTCACATTCCCATGATTTCATTGTTATGTCCACCAAGAATTACTGCTCTATGGCAAACGGTATTAATTTTATTTGTTTTTGAACATGCAAAGAAAACCCAGAAACTAGGTTCAACAAAACAGTATGTAATAAGATTGAATGAAAGGTTTTCCTTACTGCTCTATGACAAACAGTATTAATTTTGTTTTTGAACATGCCAAGAAAGCCTAGCTAACCAGGTTCAACAAAACAGTAAGTGATAAGATTCAATGAAAGGTTTTTTGTGACATTAAAACACACAAAAAAAATAAAACTTTATGAAGGCTTACCTTCTATGTCAAATTCATATCATGATGAATTTTGCTTTTAGCACACCTTGTCAAGATGGGTAACTGAACTTTTAGAAAATGATTGGTACTTGAATATGTTGATAAACTCTATTTTAATAACAAATCCCAATGTCAAGCTATCTATATCTATAAAAAACATATGTTTTGCATTGGTGTTTTTTAATTCTTAATGCAGTAAATTATAAATACATTTTAAACAATTTATTAATGCCAAACTTTTCTGGGATATAAAACCAAACTGAAGAAAAACTGTCAAAAGAAATATCATCATTTGTCCTAAAGTTCAGTTAACCCTATCTAGACAGGTCATGTGTCAAAGGCCAAGTCATCGAGTTTGTTCACTTTTATTCAAAATTTTATTGAACTATTATTTTATGAATCTACGTCAATAAGTTTGGTATCAGACTGTAGATTATAATTCAAATTTTAGTATTATACA